GTACCAGGACCCTCCATCTCACCCCCCACAGCCTGGTACTGACACCCCCAGCCCAGTGCCAGGGCCCCCATCCCACCCTCCGGGTGGTGCTTGGCCCCACTTCTCACGCCCAGCAGCTCTGCTAGCACTGAACCCCTTTCCCTCCAGGGAGCTGGGTGTTGTCCTGTCCCTCAGCCTGGACCCGATGTGGGTGCAACCAAAGGTCCCACCCTGACCCCAGCCCCTTTCTCCCTCTGCACCCAGACTCGGTTCCTGCCCCCAGGATCTCCCACAAACTCTGCTCCCAGCGCCCTGACCCTGGCAGTGCTGGCTGGGGTCACACCTGCGTGGGAATCCTGCCCTGACCCCCATGGGTGCTGTGCCCTGCTCCCGTAGCCCCAAGTACCCAGGGAGAGGACACCCGGGGGACACTACCATGGGGAGCTGGGGTCCATTTGTCACCCCAGTGTTTCGGTGACACCTTGGCCCCCTTTCATACTGGGTTTTAGAGACACCTTGGGCCCCACTGAGGCCATGGCTTTGCTTGGTGCCCCAGCAGAGTCTTGCTCTTCCCCGCACCCCCTCCAGCTTGACTGGGGCCGGGGATGATAGTAGTGGCACCATGACCCGCCCCCCATGCCAGAGCAGAGGTTTAGCAGCGTTTCCTTCCCCCATCCTGGGTGACACGACCTAGGTAGGCAGGCGGAGGGGTTGGGGACACTGTGACAGTTGGCTTTGTGGCGACCCAGCTGCTTTGCCTCCTGCCCAGTGGTTCCTTCCTGCGCTTCCTCTCTGCTGCTTTGATTTCTTATCCGCACTCCTGCGGACCTTGAAATGAGATGAGCCGGGCTCCAGGGCACTTGCTCGTTTTATTCCTGTGCAGCCTGGATCCTTGGCACCGTTTCGGGTTTTTTTTTTTTGGCTCTGTTCAAATCCACTCCCAGCCATGGGTCTCGGAGCAGCGGCGTTGTCTGCACCCCGGCTGCGCATCCAGGGAGCTTCTTCAGGGCTTGGGCTGTGCCTGACCTCCCAGCCCCCTCTCCCAACCTCCCAGTTCTGGCCAGTTCTCCCAGTGAGGATGCAGATCTCTGCGTTTTGGGGCTGCCCTGCAGACTACTGCAGGTAGTCCCTGAGAGCGGGTGTGCCCCGGGTCTGGGGTCCTGCTCCCCCTCCTCTTCCTCCTCCTCCGGGGCTGGGATGCTGCTGGGCCACCCACTGTTGCTCTCTGTGCCCCCAGGTTTTGCGGGGAGTGTCTGCAGCCCTGCCTGCAAGTGCCATCCCCGCTCTGCCCGCTCTGCCGCATGCCCTTCGACCCCAAGAAGGTGGAAAAAGCTTCCAGCGTGGAGAAGCAGCTTTCGTCCTACAAGGCTCCCTGCAGAGGCTGCAGCAAGAAGGTAAAGCTCGTGGGGGAAGGCTGCCTGTTCCCATCCTGTGCGGGCACAGTGTTCGGATCCCGCATGACAGGGTCATGGTTGGGTTGGAGTAGCTGCAAGGGCTTTTCCAACCCAGATGATTCTGGGATTCCCTGACAGTGCCCGCGAACGATCGCATATGGTGTCAGAGCAGTCAGAGGTTTCCGCCCGTCAGCAGTTCCTCCTTTGCAAAGGAAAATAGAGCCAGTGCTACAATAATGCAGCCTAGGTGGCTCTTGTGTGACCTCTGGGGACACGTGCAGCGAGCACACAACCCCAAACCTCTGTCCTGTGAGGAAGCACAGGCTGTGCAGCATTTCCACGCCGATGTGGGTCATCCTGCGCAGACCAGCGTCGACCAAAACCGCTCTCCCGAGGCTCCGGCACTGTGGAAGGTGTCGCAGCCTCAAGGAACGTTTCTTCTCTCCTTTTTCTCCAGGTGACCCTTGCAAAAATGCGCTCTCACGTCTCATCCTGTGCGAAGGTGCAGGAGCAGATGGCTAACTGCCCCAAATTTGTTCCCGTTGTCCCCACATCCCAGCCTATCCCCAGGTACCACCGTGCGCCGGGTAGGGAAATGTCTCCCTCCTTGCAGCCTGCACCCGTGTTCCCCTCCATCTTCGTTTCAAACCCTAAAATCCAAGTGTGGGTTTTGCTTTCCCCTGGGCAATCGCAGTCTTTTGCCTCCTGGCATCTGCTGCCTTGTGTTTTGTGGGATGTGGGAGGAAAGACCGACCAAACCAGGGTGGTTCAGCCTGTGGCTGGGGTGGGATTGGGCTGGGCTGCTGTCTGCCGGGGTACAGAGCCGAGCAGGAGGCAGCTGATTAGTTGGGAAGGAGTTAATCCCATCTCTTCCTGGGGGATCTGAGCTCATCCTTGGTCTATTTAGCAACATTCCCAATCGCTCGACGTTCGTGTGCCCGTACTGCGGGGCCCGGAACCTGGACCAGCAGGAACTGGTGAAGCACTGCATGGAGAACCACCGCAACGACCCCAACAAAGTGGTGAGCCATGCCGGGGCACCAGGATGGGCTGGGTTTTTTTTCCGATTAACTCCTGGAAATCCAAATACCCCCTAGCTGATGCTGCATCCAAAGCCACCGGAGCTGCTGCTGCACATAACAGCTGTATTTCCAGCTGGTTTGGTTTGTTGTAAATCCCTTTGATGGGAGGTGGGGACAGGCATCTGTTTGCTCTGGAATGAGCTGCCTCCATCTCCCTGTGCCTGCAGCCCGGGTGGTGCTGGATTTCCTCTCCCCGTCCTTGCTGGGTTGACCGAGATGGGGAATTTGCAGCTCTGGCACTGTCTCGGAGGTTCTCGGGTGGGTGTGTAACTTGTCAGTGGGTTAAAAGCAGCCTGGGCCACGTGCCAGGGGCTCTGTGCACTGAGGCATCTGCTCGGGGGGTGCCAAGGGACCCCGTGTGTGGCACATTCTCTGCAGATCACCCGCAGTCAGAAGGGAGGGGACCACTGCTCACCTCGCTGGGAGGTAGAGGCAGAGCTGGGGGGGGGTCTGTGCCCACGTATCATGGTTTCCCATTGTCCCTACCTGCAGGTGTGCCCAGTCTGCTCAGCCATGCCCTGGGGGGACCCCAGCTACAAGAGTGCCAACTTTCTCCAGCACCTCCTCCACAGGCACAAGTTCTCCTACGACACCTTCGTGGTGAGTACAGCCCCGTGCCCGGACAGAGTCGTCTTCCCCGTGTGCTGTGGCGAGCGGCTGGGAGGAGCTGCAGGGGCTTTTCCAACCCAGATGATTCTGGGATTCTGTGTAGCCCTACTCAGGAGACACCCCCGGGTGTGGGGCTGGGCTCCCCACCTGCCCCAGGGGTGCTTGAGCTGGTTGTCATCAGACACACCAGAAAAACATCCCTGAAGGAGGAGAGGGAAATGTTACTGCTCCTCCTGAAGATGGGTTTTTTCCTCTGTGTGCTCCAGTAAACCCATCCCCTGAGGATCTATTAACACAAAAGCCCTTTTCTTTGAGGCTTCACAAATCGTGGGAGGGGAAGAGCCCAGCCTTGGGGCTTGGGGGGGGATCGATGACCCCTCTTGTGTGGGGGTGAGGATGCGATGGCTCAGGGACCAAGGGGAGGTTTTGTTAGCATCTTGCTTTTATTGCAGGGCCGTTAGATGTCAGGGAAAGGGACCCCCAGCTACTTACAGGGAAATGTCCCCACTTAGGGAGCCATCGCTGTGTTGCAGGAGCGCTGGGGAAGCCACAGCCTTGCTGGAAAGCTCTGCCCCTTGGCCGCAGCTCTGGCCTGGGCATGTTTCATCCCCGCCCGCTGTCAGGTTCAAGGGCAGGGCTGATGTTGCCTGATTCCAGGCAGGAGAGGGGACCATGGGCCCCAAGGACACCCCAAAGAGCTCCTGGGACCTGTGTGCTGGAGGAGGTGGAGGCTCGCGGCCTCGCCGGGATGATAAGGAACAGGAGGAGCTCCTTGCTGTGGCCACCCTTCCTTGATGGAGACTGACCTGGCTGTGCCAGCTCTCCTGACCACCCCCTTTTTTTCTTTTTTTTTTTTTTTTTTTTTTTTTTTAAACGTTTTAGGACTATAACATCGACGAGGAGGCAGCGTTGCAGGCTGCCCTGGCACTGTCTCTCTCCGAGAACTGAGGGTGACGGCAGAGCGTCAGTTTGGACCCCTCCCCTTCACCACCCTGTCTCCTTTTTGCACACTCAGCCCTCCTGCCGGGGAGGCAGGGAGCTCGTCAACCCCCCACCCCACCCCGGAGACCTGCTGCTGCCTCTCTTCCCTCTCCTCTTGGGGCGAACTTCACCTTGTTGAAGAAGGTGGAGGCTCCTCAGCGTCGCGCTGGACCAGTGAGCGAGCAGAGACGTCAGCTGCTGCGAGGAGAGAGGAGTCGGTGCCCAAGGGCTGGGATTATTCCTCGGTTAGGCATTTCATACCCGTATACGGAGTATATACCTATAGCCAGATCTATTTATTATTAGATGCTTTTTGGCACCATTTGTCTTCACGCTCTCTGTTGCAATTGAGTAGGTACGTAAAACTACGATGCGTTTTATGCAGAAATACTCTAGTTTGAAACTCTGATCGTCCACGTCCTTTTGGAAAAGGAAGGAAAACTGCACGGAGCATCTTTTTTTAAACTATGAGGCTGTTTCCAGAGACATTGGCCTGGCCTGGCCCCCGTGCTGCAGGCAGGAGCTGAATCCCGGGGTGAGACTGTTGCCCTCGTGTGCCCCGTGACAGCAGCAGGTTCGGGGGAGTACACGGGGACGGCGTCCAGTGAAATTCTCACCTTCCTCGTTTTGTACCAGCTCTTGTGATACTGAGCTCTTGCATTTTTCTACATCAATCGGCGTGATGCCTTTTCCACGTTTTATAGAGCGGGAACAGAAGCTGTTACTCTTCCCACTGCAATATCCGCCACCAGGGACAAGAGTATTTTTATGGAACATTATTAAGAAAGTATATTTTTTAAAAAAACCCAACCAAACGGAACACGTTGTGGATCTGAAATCAGGCGGGAGGCAGGGGCCAGACCTGGGGCTGCCGGGTGGGATTCTGGGGGGCTGTGGGAGGCACACGGGTGTTTTCTCCGGGTATTTCTGGGCCTGGTCGGCCTGTTTCTCCACAGGCGGGTGTTGATGCAGGAGAGGCCGGGTCAGAGCAGCACGAGCAGCTCCCGCTGCCTTTTTTTTTTTTTTTTTTTTTTTTTTGCAGGGGGAGCAGCAGCACCTTTTGCTGGAGGTTGAGTTTACGATGGCTTAACCCTTGCAGGCAGAGCTGCGGGGTGGTGCCGGGGGTGGTGTGAGCTGGAGCAGTGGGTGTCTGTCCGAGGGAGCTGTGAGGGACCCTGACATGGAGCGTTGTGTCCCTGAAATAAGGGACCGTGTCTCCCTCTCCCTGGGAACGGGGCGCACCTGAGCAGATGCTGATTTCCAAGATGCTGGTGACTTGTCCCGCCCTCGTCCCTCTCTGCCCTCCCTGCTGCTGGTGGAGGGTGGCAAGGGGATCTCCTCTGGCCGGTGGCCGCCCCACGCGCTATGCAGTAGAAGCCACGTCCCATCTGAAGGCTCGTGGCTGGTGCTGGGGGACACAGGAGCTTGGTGCGGGGACCCTGCCAACCTTTGGGGTCACATGCATCAGCCCTCGGTGAAGGAGCTGCAGGGTGAGGTGTGGGGAGCGTGTTCCTCCTTGGAGAAGTGCCCTTGGGTGGTTTATCCGAGACCTGGCTCCAGCTCCGCTCTAGCAATACTGTCTTCTTGTTTTGTTTTGGTTTTTTACTTTTTAAATAGTACTGGGTGATTTGGGGGCTGTGAGCTGCCCTGTGCCTCCGGCAGCCCTACGTGGAGCGGGCAGAGCCCGTCTGCTCCCCTGGCAGAGGGCAGGGGAAGGCCTGGAGCTGCTTCGCTCCCCTCCCTTGAGCCGGGTGAGCGAGGAGGGATGGGATCTTCTCTTAGTGCTGCCCAGCCCAGGGATGTCATTGGTAGGACTGGGAGCACTGGTATCTCCCAAAAGGGACCTGGGAGGGTTTCCCTGTCCCTGCCTCAGCTGGGACCCCCCAGGTCCTGGAGCAGCCTCCCTCCGAGCTCTCGCTTGCAGGGAGCTCCGGGACAGCACCGTTAACCTCTGTCTCCTTCCTCCTCCTCCTCCTTTTTGCCCCACAGCGCCAGAGCAGGGGCAGCAATGGCTGCTTTTGTAAAGCACTTTAAGGCCCAGGTGGGGAGCTCCTGCCTCTCCCCGCTTTGCCCGGGGTCGGGTCCGGCTCTGCCCGCTGCCGGCCGCGCTCGTCAGTGTGTTCCCTGTGACTTTTTGCATATCTAGAACTTTTAACGAGACCTACTGTTTTTTGAAGAAGAATAAAATCAATGACGTTATTTGTAGCAAACCATTTTTCTCAATAAAGGCAGTTTCATCCACGCCTTGGCCTCCCTGTGCCGTCTCCGCTGAGGTTCTGGGGGGACGGGACAGGACTGGGGGTATGTGCCCCCCCTGCATGTGCCAGAGCTCCTCGTTACAGCTTCGTCCCGACTCATCAACCCTCGTTACGGCCGCGGGGTTTGCCAACGCCATTCCGTCACCCCGACCCTCCTCCTCGCCCTGGGCCTGGCTGGGGGTGCCCGTGGGGCTGGGATGGGGCCCCCCGGGGGAGTGAGGGTGGTTCCCAGCTCCTGGTGTGCTGGGAGCACTGGAGGCTCTGGGGGAGTCACTGCAAGCGTTGCGGGGGGGACCAAGGGTACTGAAGGGACGCCAAGAGAACTGGGAGCACTGGAGGGGCACTGGGGTATTGGCGTACTGGGCATACTGGGGTCTGCGAAGACACTGCAGGCAGAGGGATGCTGGGGGCCCTGAAGGCTCTGCGAGCACTGGGGGTACACTGGGGATATTGGGAGCACTGGGGGGGGG